ACGGACAGAAGATGGGACGCTTAAATGAATGGCGCGGTTCTCACGTTTCATTTTCGTCAAAGCCTCTGAACTGTCAAAAATTGCAAAATTTAGAAATAATGAGAGAAAGTGTGTGCTGTTAGAACCTCATTAGTTTGTTCGTTTTTTACTACTACTACTCTTGAACACTTCCAAGAGATATATAGGCATATACCAACCCATCTAGGCCTCTCACTAGTTGGGTGCCTGCCCTCACATATCTTAAAGGCATAAATCTCATCATCCAGGAATTGTTAATAAATACAATTCACTTTCTACTATTTCTGTTGTAAATTGCTTCCGAAGGTCAGGTACTTTTACGTAAAATTTCTTGATATCGTACAAAAGTTCAAGATCAGCCTTGACTGAAAAGGCGAGACCTGCCGGGAGCCAACCACAACAGGCCAGCCATCTATAAATAGTGCAATAACGCCAGCAAAGGTTGAACCAGTGTCATTACTTCCGTTCTAAGCGACACAAAGTTTAGAGCAAACTTAAGTTTCCAAGGCAACACACACGATCGCTGCCGACGGTATTGAGGACATATACTGTCATTTATTTTGCGCGTGAACGAAATATTCCAATTAAATGTCCTTTAATTTCGTATTAGCTCCTTTTTTGTATTTCTCTACATTTAGTAATAAGTTGCTGTGAATAAAATCTATTTCACTGTTTCGAAAGATCTGTGTAAACGTCTTGTTCAGTGTTTTCAGGATTACTTTTAACTCATGCTTGATTTATAAAATTTTAAGTTCCGGAACACACCCCAAATTAATTATTAATTTAATAGAAATAGTTATATATTTTAAACATAATGTCATAATTACAAATCATACTTGATAACAATTAGTAACAGTACTGGCGCTATGTGAATATAATGATAACAGGAAATACTAAATAATAGTTTATAATGATATTTTAGTATATTTTTTACTAATAACTTTATTACGTGTGTAGGAATGATACGGATAAGTGGGAAATTATTTAATTTTTAGTTTACGAAAAATGGTCGAACTCAAATTCGAAGTTGCCAAGTGTTTATCTTTGCTTTTTGTTTGTTTGTTTGTTTCTTCAATTTTGTTCCCGAGGTCTCGGAACGCCGTTTCGTGTTCCGCCAGAAATCAAATTCTGCTTCTCCTTGCTTTCAACAGGAGCGCTGCGAGCGCTGTAATTTGAGAAAAGTCGACCTGAAACTTTGTGAACATTGCGTGCGTTATATACAAGTACCACCTTGATAGGTACATACTTAGTTCCATTAAGCAAGTACTTTTACGCACGTATCACCATATATGCAATAAGAGCCCTGGTCGTGCGCACATGTGACAGAACAACGTGCAAGCGGGCCTCTCAATGTCGGATGGCCTCTGACCTTGAGCCCCGTTACGTCACGCGAGCGGGATAAACGCGACGCCTCCTGCCGGCGCGCTACGGCTGCAACGCAAGCTGCCAGTTTCCACGCCCGGCCGACGTTCAGCCGAAAGGATCGCTGTGACTCAACGCCATAGAAACCTGTTCGCGTTCCCAGCGGGCACCGAACTCGGGCGCCGGGTAGAGTACTGCCTGCTGCGAAGGTGAGTGCAGTCAGTTGGCATCGCGCCTTTCATTTGACGCAGACAGCGGCGTAATTTTCTGACGGGAAGTGCGAACTGTACCAAACTATTCAACTACCGAGCAGATGGGACACACTGAGATATGGAGTGAAAACAGGCCATAAGTAACAAAACGTTTGTGCATAGTGTGAATATCTATAAACAGACGTATCCAGAAAGGTTAAGTATATTTTCATGTTCATTGAAGAGCATTTCTTCGATTTAATTAATAAGTATATGAATAAAATATTACCGATTCTCATATCATATATCAAAGTACTATAATTGCTTAACTATACTTATATTATGTTCGTTTACTTCACTGCTTATAAAGTTATAACAAATATAAAACAATAAGTATTATTTTCAGCCATTGCTTATTAAATCAATTCAAGTTTCAGCTCTTCAAACGACGGCTGTTGAGTTCGATTACGAGGAAGCTTGCGAGAATGATTCAAACGCTTTGTTTTAGAGGATGGGCAATGTAAACAAAAAACGTTTAAGCCGTTTAAATGATTGATAACTGTATTACGATTAATAAATAAATAAATAAATAAATAAATTATTCAATAAAATAATAAACAATTATGTAATATTGTTCAATATTAATGGGACATATTGTATGATATGTAACTAAACTACTCGTTCGGGAGTATTCTTTAATATTTCTGCCTCTTTAAAAAAACCCTACTTAACCGCTCATGAAATAAAAACATTTTTCACTATGCTGCTATTATCCGCGCATTTTTTTTTTTTGCGCCCTCATTTCATTGGATGCGAGAGGAGTGGGGGAGGGGGTAGTTATTTCGACGACAGGACTATTACATCAAACCGATCGCTTCTTTTTCGAGGTAAAATAATTTCTATCATACGGGAGCGAACATTTCTCACAATGACATTTTGTGAACAATGCTCGTCGCTACATTTATTCTTAATTCAACTACTGTTACAAAAGGAGAAGATGTAGGTATTTCAGGGCTCAAGAAAATGTGCGGGTTTAATATACCATAACGTGAACCTTCATGGTCTCCAGTACGTAAATAACAGGGAAGGGAGACCACAAAACATCGAAAATTCCGGATAATCGAAACATTTTTTTATAGAGAATGAATAGTGGTAATTACAATACTAATCAAGGAGTCGTGTAAAAATAATATAATGTTATCATAAAAATTATGCAATAATTATAATAAATAATTCTTGTACGAATTGTACGTAGTGGTTTGTAGTGAATTGTAGTTGATTTTCAAAATAGAGTAAAAGTATTTCCTCTCGCAAAAGTAGATTTTTGAAGCCACTCCTTACGAGCCCGGGATCAAAACAAACCTTTTGCCACTTGACAAATTACTACGAACTTCGCCCAGAGTGTTAAATCGCCCGCCACGTGGAGTTGGGGTCATAGTCGCTGGCGTAGCTCTGCCATCAATGCCGAGGGTACAGGCCGGCCCTCGCCACCGCGCTCCCACTTTCACCCAAAATGAAGGCACACGCGTGGCTAGTTACACTTCGAAACCATATTCGCACTTATAAACCCCCAAAACTATAGGTGTATCAATTTTAAAGTTAATGTAATAGAAAATAAGTTAATCACTTTCTGTGTTCTCAAAATATGCAAAATCTCTACGTAATCGCACTTTCAAAATTCAATTTTTGTTTTACTTTTTGGAAGTTACTTGTTTTCTAATCATAGTAAGTACTATTGTTATTCACGTAACTATACGTGTATAATGAATTACTGTGACGTATGACGATTGAAATTAATCTCTTTTAATGTTTTGCACTTCATACAATCTTTTTTTTAATTTAAGTTTATAGTTCTTTATCCTCTCGTTGTCAGAATAGCAAATTCGAGATGTAGTCCTAAAAGAAATGTCTTCCGTTTTGACGATTACCGACTAGGAACATGTTAAGACAATGTCATTTTAATGACATTCATGTTTTATTTATTCACGAACTATATTGATACTACGGAGCAATTATGAATAACTGTTTTGATTTGTTTGTATGTTTTGTGTATCTTAACTATTTTGTATTATTGTATGTTGTTTACTTGTCTATGTCTTAACAATTGTGTGTCAAAACGATCGAGAAACGTGAAGATAAACTTTTGTATAATAAATTAGTAGTAGCAAAAGTCGAATAATGTATTATGTATTATTGGAAACGTTTTGTATTTGTGGCAATTTTGATGAATAACAGTTTTGCGTAGGTTTCTATGTTTATTTTATCTCAACTGTTTTGTATTCTATGTTGTTCTGTGCGATTCAAACAGAAAATTTTAAGGGATGAATCCTTTAAACAAATAAAATTCCCAATGAACAGCGTTCTTCCCAATGAAGTGGATATTATTCGGAAAGTGCCGATAAATATTAGCTTCGGAACATTGCGATTTAGTTGTACACTGCGGACATCGTGTCTGAACTGATAAACTGCGTTTCAATTTGAAGGCTAGGCCTATATTTTTCAATGTTCTACGCCAGAAATTCAGGTGAGATATCGGAACACAGCCGTTTATCTCATGACAAGATAATAAGGTTCTGACTCACACTTTATCAAGAAATTTTATCGTTTTTACAGCATGTGGTAAAATATACTGTGTGAACACTTTCATGATTTCAATCTTAAGTGGGGAATTCAGTAGCCAAAACATAATAATGAAACAGGTGTATTTTATCTTCATTGACGCGACATTTGCAATGTTCTTGTAAACTGGCTTGAAAATGTTTCCTTATTTTGAGCTGCTTTATTCATTTAGTTGCAGGAAATCAAACCACTTGATTGTTTTATGAAACCAAATGTTCAGGAGAAGAAAAGACTTCAATCGAAAAAAATTCACAATATTTTGAAGAAGTAGTGCCTCTACAAACATGTTTAATCCTTAATCTGAACGATTTTGGACCAGTGATTCCACCTAGGTAGAAGTTATGATCACAATGCCCAGCCCACTTTTTTTGTTCCTTATTTTGCTTGTGGGGACTCGCATTAAATGTAACGTTTCTCTCTCCCTTAAAAAACATGCATAAGGAGATTACTGTATTTACATCAAATAAATAAAAATACTGTCATTGCTTATAGTATTTTGTATTATATTTGTGTTAGAGTTTCTGTATTGTGTGGCTACTTTTTATTGGATGTCAGCTTCTGATAATTATGTTAATGATTTAATTTACAATATTATTAATTGTTTTGTAATGTATTAAAATAATGACTATTCATTATTTCATATCAAAATACTTAATTGTTTTTATTTATGAGGTTCAATTATTATATTAAATCTCTTGAAATGTTTTTGGAAAACTTATTATCACTGGTCATACCTTGCTGAACATATAAACTATAATGCATCATTAACATAATTCTTCTTTTCTTACAGACAAAATAATGGCTATTCTATTGGAATCATTTGTGGCAGAACTACTTATTGGAATTGTAACATTTTTCGTCTTCATCTATTGGTTCCTCACGAACAACTTTGACTATTGGGAAAAGCGAAATGTGTTCTACCTAAAACCCATTCCGTTATTTGGAAACTTCAAGGACCGTCTCCTCTTTCGAAAAACAAATTCCCAAGTGTCCAAGGAACTGTACGATGAAGCGAAAGGTCAAAAAATATTCGGTACGTGGATGTTTAAATTACCGTTTCTTTGGATCCGTGACCCGGAAATAATCAAAAGAGTTCTAGTCAAGGATTTCGCCCACTTCCACGACCGCGGCATGGCGATGGATGAAGAGAAAAACCCTTTGAGTGCAAATCTCTTCAATCTTCCTGGCGCTAGATGGCGCGCACTTCGAACAAAATTGACCCCAACTTTCACGTCTGGCAAAATGAAGATGATGTTTGAGCTGATGCACGAATGTGCTCGAGAATTCGTAGACTTCGTGAGCTTTGAAGCAGATGCAAACGGTGAAGTAGAATTCAAAGAAGTTTTTGCTAAACTTACGACTGACATCATTGGTTCATGTGCTTTCGGTTTGCAGTTTAATTCAATGAAAAACCCCGACTCTGAGTTTCGTAAAATGGGGCGTAAAATTTTTACGCCCGATGCGAGTGCTGTGATGATAACCATACTGCAGTTTATGCTTCCGGCGATAGGAAAGTTTTTCAGTATGCGATTGCCCACAAAGGAAGTAAGCGATTTCTTTATGAAGGCTGTATTGGACACGGTGGAGTATCGAGAAAAGAACAATGTTAAACGAAATGACTTCTTGCAACTTCTAATTGAGCTGAAAAACAAAGGAAAAATTGAAGATGAAGAACATGAAACAAAACCATTCTCACAAGGGGTAACACTAGAAAATGGAGAAGTCAAGGAAATTGGTAAGTAACTCTTTCAAATATAATGTGATTTTCAATTTTGGTGTTGTTGTTGTTGTAAGTGTTGGTGATATATAAGAGTCGTAAGGTACTCGTTTTAAAATCCTTTTATGTCTTCATGCTTTCACGTTTTAAAATTCTGCTTAGTAATAAAATATAAGTGAGAATTATATTAGTGCCCATTACATGTCTATAATAGACTAAATTGTCATGCATTTTTATATGAAACGAAAAACAAATTGGAACTACTTATGAGAGTTATTTTCTGATAAAAGAACTTAAACTCTTTGTAAATGAAGGAAGAAATATAATTAGCATATGAATAAAGACAGAAATACAAATAAATAACATAAGAACCTAACATTAACATAAAATATTTTAGTGTTTATTGGCAAGTTAAACTTTTATTCGAAACACGATCGAAATGAAAACGCTTATTATCCCGAAACAAAAATTAAATCAATGCTCCTGGTTACATAGTGAGGCGTGAGACAGAAAAAGGGGCTGGGTTAATCAGTGATTCAATTCCCAAATTTCTAGCTTGTTTTTCAATAAATACTTTGTATTACAAATAACATTTTCTTGTCTTCAAATGATAACTACCCTTGTGCCTATTCTTTTATTCATTCGGCTTGCTTCGTACAGAAGATCTGGTGGGAATTTCGGAGCTCAAGGAAACGTGCACTAATCCCATTAGTTGTTGCTAATTAAAATGTTTTGATGTAAAAATATTTAATCATTTATTTTTGCTTGGTGTGAGGTTCATCGTGGATCGGTATTCATGAAAATTTCAGAGACAACGTTTATCCGTCGTTTTTATATGTTCTACACACATTATTTGTTTGCAAATTCCCACTCGCGTAATTCACACGTTGTCTGGCAGAACTGACCGAAAACCTGCTGGCTGCGCAAGCGTTCGTGTTCTTCGTGGCGGGCTTCGAAACGTCCTCCACCACCATGAGCTTCGCACTGCACGAGCTGACAACGAACCCCGACGTCCAAGAGAAGCTCCGGGACGAGGTCGACCGCGCGCTCGCCGAGAGCGGCGGGCAGCTCTCATACGAAGCTGTCGGCAAAATGGCGTACCTCGAAAACGTCATCAATGGTAAGGCTTTCCGTGAGCATGAAAACCTCTCTATCTAATATGTTGTTTGCAACAAATAGTGTTCAGTTTGTGTTGTCGCACCTATGCGCATGCTCTTATATACTACCCTCCTTTCCTTTTAAGGGTATTTAAAAAATATGTCTTTAATTCAAATCGCTTTTCAATAACATGGATATCGGCGATCCCAGTTACAAATTACACAAATTTAATTTTAAAAAAATATTTATAGTTAGAGTTTAATAGATTGATAGATATATTCACGTATTTATTTTTTAGATATATTTGTCCAGTTAAGAATTTAGTGAGTAGTTTTAACACGTTCTGGTAGAAAACTGAAAACAATATGAAGATTTAATTTTAAAACTTAATTTTCAGTTTTTTCCTATAAACAAGAACTTCGGGGCATTAAACATGCAAGGTGGAAATAGGAGAGCTACTTTTAGAACATGTGTCAGGATATATTTGTTATATTAGATAATTGTGGCTGAAATTGAAGCGTCTGAAAAGGTGTCTTCTTAGGATAATTTGCTGATTTCTATTTATTTTCATGTTCATGCAAGTTTCAATGTATCTCGTCTAACAAAATGTCGTTGTAACAAATTGCTATTTAAGTAGTACACAACTCTTCACAATAGAACGCCTGATCCCGCACTTATTACTATACGAACCAGTCTATTCACTTTGCACCAGATTTCCGGCACGACCTGTCATCAGAGTTCATATTTTGGCGGGTTATTCTCTCATCTGGGGTTGTTTCTACACGTGAAGATTGTCCTCATCCCGGCACTTTCTGCGCTTTTCGTCAAGTTTCTTCACATCCCAATCGAACCTCATTATGTATAGGATTTCCGTGGGGTAGGTCCTTGCCTCTCTTAATGAAACACAACGCATTCTGGAATTATGTTTCTTTAAATAAAGATCTCTCTCGCTCTCTCTCAATGACAGGTATACTGTGAGAGTTATGTTAGTTAAAATTCTATCGCATCCCTCCTGTTAGAGGAGTATATATATTTATATATATATATATATATATATATATATATATATATATATAAATTATATATATATATAATTTAAATTCTAAAATATATCTTTAATAATATGTTTCGTGCATTTAAACTGGATTGATTCTGATCATGATACAAGTAGTAAGCAACCCACATAACACTATTGAGAGCGCCGTATTAATGTCTTCGTGGCCTCTAAGCGTCACCAAATTATAAGACCAGAAGAGGTGACTCAGGGCAAGAACTGACGTCACTACAATTGCCTCTGATCAGGAAGTCTTAGGTTCGAATCCGGAGGTGACAGGATTTTCGAAACTAGCTAGAAAGCCAAGTCAAATTCAGTTGCTGTCTGGAAGAGAATTCTAGCAACCGTCTGCACTGATCGTTATTTTTTCGCGGTCTTTCCCATCCTGGATACTACCGGAACGCTACTCTAACAACGAATCGCACCTCTTCTTTGTCTTATCCTCACCCCTCACTTACACAAGTGCATGCACTACACTGCCACACATGATGGAAGACCGGTCGGGAACTTAGAGCTTGTCCCGGCTGGGGAGGTGCCCCGTTGTTGGGAGATGTCTTGTTTGGGAAAACCCCGCTAGCTTATGGTAGGTCGACGCCGAATTTCTTGCGAAACTAATGACGTTAGAAGTTGACGTGTCCGGAATAACTAATAAATCAAAACCAAATTATATGACACCATAATAATATTCAAAACTTAAACAGAAATAATCAAAGTTAATGTGAAAATAGACTACAATCTTTGCAGCGTTAAAAACTGATATTAAAATTATTTTAATATTGACAAAATGTCAATAATTGAGACATGAACGGAGAGAGCTAACCCACAATATTTAAACACCGATTTATTAACAAATTCTATGTGTTCGTAATCGAGTACGTTCATAAATCGACATTTTGAATTTTCTGGGTTAGCTCCCTCTCACTGGGTGCATCAATTTGTGTGAAATTGCTTAGGAATCTCTACCTTGCAATTGAAAACAGTGATCGTCATCAACTCAATTAAGGAAATTTTAACAATTTAACCTACGAGTAATTCCAAAAGCAGAGAGCGGTTCTGACCGCCCCACTCGTCTTGCTCCGCAGAGTCCCTGAGGAAGTACCCGCCCGTGCCCATCCTGATGCGCGTGTGCAACAAGGAGTACCGCGAACCGGACACGGGCGTGCTCATCGAGGAGGGCGTCCGCGTGCAGATTCCCGTCTACGCCCTGCACCACGACCCCGAGTACTTCCCCGACCCGCAGCGCTTCGACCCCGAGCGCTTCAGCGAGGAGCAGAGGGCCAAGCGGCCCAACTACACCTTCCTGCCCTTCGGGGAGGGCCCCAGGATTTGCATCGGTGAGTGCCAGCTGGGCAAATAACTGATGTCACCGTAGTGCCTCTGATTTGGAGGCCTTAGACCCCCGACGGTGATAGGATATTTGACATAGCTAGGCCGAGATGCTTTATCACCGAATCGCGCATGCATTTTTTAAACGCAAGATGGTGCATCTTCTCGATCTCCACGTCCTCCTCCTCCTGCATTCTTCCTCTAGTCGTCAGATATTTTTTTCTTTTCATTACGTAGGGTGAGATCGGGCATGGTACAAGAACATCCGCCAATGTGACTTCGCAGGCGAGCAACAACCTTCTCTCTGTCGCAAATGATGGCAGATTCTGCATCACTGTTCACAGACACCCCCCTCACCGTATAAACACGGCCGGTTCTGCATCACAACATCCGCACTCATGACGGCGTCGTGATCTTGCTGACATCGTGCCATTATCACCGTCCCTTACCTCTCAGATTGTCCCCCTCTTCCATCCTCTTCTTACATAAGAGAGGTCAGTGGCACTGATAAGGGTTTGCTCTGATGCAGCACCGGCCCCGCCATCAGAGGTCAGTGAACCTAATAAGGATTTGTTGGGATGCGGGCCGTAAAAACACGGCTGGTTCTCCATCACAACAAAGACCCGGGTTCGCATTCCGGTCGGGGTGATGCAGAACCGGCCATTCCCCACCACTCAACTATAGTCACCAAAGGAACAAAGTTCATATCAGGCACTTTTTGGAGTGTAGTTATAATATTTACAAGTAACCCCATGGAAGTATCAACTCTCTTTTCACAAAATCCCACAAAGGGGCCAGTTAAATGTGCTGTTTTTGTTGTTTTTTTTTGCTGAATTTTGTAATTTAATCGCACTCACAAAATCAGATAGAGCTCACGAATTATATAATATTTTAGAAATACATTAGAATAGTTTATACATTTATCGCAATCATGAATTTTAGTTTTACCCTCAACTTAAATGTATCGTATACGTATACATATGTCCGTGGTCACAGGAACAACGAAACAATGAATTCTATAGCAATGTCAATTTCATTTTAGGCGTACGATGCTCAGATTTATTTAAAAGAATATGGAGAAATAATATCATGAAAAGTGTGAAAAAATGATTGAGTAAACAAAGTAGATCCCTTCCAAAAAAATACAAATACCCCATCTCTGTCGCTTCAGAAAGATAGTTCAAAATATTCGACACATCTTGTGATTACTAAGTAGAAATGTCAAGCTTCGACATTTGTTTGCAATGGCCCGACTAGTTTCAAAATGAAATAATAACTAATTTCAAGAAACAATAAATGCAATCCTATGTAAGTTTGACACTTTCCCTAGATCTATAGGAGTAAATATGAATAAGTAATTATTTTCTCATTTATCACAATCACATAAACTAAGAAGCAAAAGTAAGTAAAGTGTATACAACCAGAATAGGGGAAACATATGATAAATATTCAACGTGGCCCAGTATCAATCATACCCGACCTTGGTTGAGTTCTAGCCCTTGATTCACTTTAGAAAAAAATACGTTTCTGTTTTAGGGGTGTTTTTAGACTTTACAATTATCCCAGCAGTCATTCACCTTAATTAACCCTAGTGCTCGTGTTCTATTCTCCTATTTCAGGCCTCCGCTTCGGGATGCTGCAAGCGAAGCTCGGGTTGGCAGCCCTGCTGTCGCGGTTCGAGCTCGCCCCCAGCCCCCGCACACCCCACCCGCTCGTCCTCGACCCCAAAGCCTTCATCACAGCCAGCAAAGGCGGCATCTGGGCACGCCTCACCCCGCGGGAGCCTGCAGCTGGGACCTCCGTCACCACGGAACTGTGAGCTTCACCCTTGCCATCAAGGACGTTACGTGGGCGCGCTCCCTTGCAGAAAGCTACAGCTGTCAGCCTGGAGTTACGAGCAATGTTGGTGAGTGGGTGCGCGTCATTCCGAGGACACCGACAGCAAGTAGTACTATCATCAACGTGTTGTGACATTTACCACTGCAGATCAGGGAGACATTGGCGTGCGACAAACGGTGTTAAACATCCATATTTAAGCGAGAATTGTTAACGCATAGAGACTTTTTATTTCATTTAACATTATTGTTATAGACAAATAAATGAATTATTTAATCGAACAATTATCCAAACGAAAAAGAGCGAACAAATTATCATTCAAACATATTGGTAACAATGCTTACATAATGCAGTATTTAAAAGGGAAACAAACATAAATTAGTAATAACACTTAACAACAAATTTAAAAAATTAGGATATCTTGGTACCTAACACTTGTTCTAAGATAATTCTGATTCACAATATGAAAACCGCTTGTCTCTTGTCACCCACTGTTTTTTATACATACTACTTCATTCATTTATCCATTTTTTATATATACTACTTTATCCATTCTTTATATATACTACTCCATCCATATTTCATTAGAACCATTATTGTTGCACGGAATACTAATGAAAATGAAATTGGCTAAGAAAATAATGAGATTGAGTCAAAAGACACGCATATTATATAGTAATGTATATTTAAAGATATAATACTCACAGAACATACACACTACAAATACATAATCTAAGATGTATTTGGTTTGAAATTCTTTGCTGTAGATTTGCGTTTGTGCCGAGCATTTGTCATGTCACGGCGAAGTGTCCAGCAGTACTCAGCCAACACTGCGTCGACCGTAAGACCGGGACTCCATCACCGAGATCTCCTAATGAAAACGTTCATCATGTTCGTTTGACTGCACTTAGGTTTTCGGGGAAAGAAGTCAAGATATCAGTCGACGAGATGAACTTTCAGGGAAATGTTGACACCCAGCTGTTTGTAGACACTGAAGCACTTCTTCACAATATTTACATAGTTTCCTGATTTATAATTTCCAAGGAAATTGGCTAGAACTGTTTTTAATAATATTTATGCACATTTTTCAATATTTTCAAGAAAGTATTGAAAGTGGTGTTTGCAATTATCTTTCTTATTTGTGGACCTGTTGACACACCTTATTGTACTGTTGCATAAGTCAATCCTGGAAACTTGTTGCACAGGTACTGAAAACTCTCCGAGTCGTTGTCTAGTGCCTTCACAAAACGTTTCACGGTATTGAGTTGCCGCTTCCTGTGTCTTCATCGGCTGTGATGACCCATCGACAGGTGTTGAAATAACCTTTCTAAATAGTTGCAGACGTTGCCCACAGTGGAATAATTTCGGTACGGAGAGACCTACCGCGCGCTTGTGTTCGTGTTGGAAGTTCTGCTCTCACGTTTCTTATTCGTGTTACTATTTAAACATGTTTTACTATTTAACAAATTATTTATGCATTTTTCTAACAGTTTATTATTATTCGAAACATTAATTCTATTATTCAAAAAACATGGGGCTAAATAAGATGAAAAGTGTTCAATGACAATTATTTTTTGTCGACATCTTGAAAACCTGACGTGATAGAGCAAAAACGGTTTTCCGAATTGAAATAAAATAAAAAAACTACTAAAGAAAAAGTAAACCCCAAGCCAGATAACTATAGCTTATTTATTAGTTAAATTAGTACAAAAATATTCAGCAAAAACCTTATTGCTGCAATAACCGAAGCGTGTCACCTCAAGGAAATCCCAAGTCAATGGCACCGTTATCTCGGAGCAATAAGGTTCCTCATTTCGAGCCACTTCGGTATATGAGTGCACCCACCAAAACCTGCAGCTACCGACACTGTCACCACGAAGCAAGTAGCCGATGGTATGATCACCTGCGAAAAAAAGAACGCGATTTAGCACTTCCTTCCCATCTCTGAATTCCAGCTTTGTGTCTCAGTCGATCCGAGATGAATATGTATTAGCTAGAAGAAACAAGTGTGTTCACAACAAATTTCAACCGATATTTTCCATGTTCCTTACTTCATCATTTAATCTTCATTATTATCATCATCTCACACATTGATTTTCATCAACAGTAACATCAAACTCGCACCATAACTGCACAAAACCCTGTACCGTGGACAAGTCAACACGTTCCTGCATTTCAATATTTGTTTACATCTTTTGTTACTTGACACATTTGAAGCGTGAAGCACTGAATTCAGTGTACTTGTGTTCTGCTATTCTAAACAGGTAACTGCACATATGTACATAAAATATTCAACAAGTAATAAAAAATATATTTATAAAACACTACGTTTATTTTTCTTACCTTTTGGTATCAAACATCACACACTGCCTTGACCAAATACATTTTTTAGGTAGAAAGTTATGTTCTCGAATTTTCCAAGTTAATTTCCTTAAAAATTACCAAACACTTTTGAATTTCAATATTTCAAACACAAAACTTTACTTGTATGAGACTTTTGCGTAAAAGTAACTAGGAAGTACATTACAAGCGCCGAGCGAAAATGGTTTGCAGTAAAAAGTGTGCATTCGAGGGTGTAATTCTCCAAAAGAAATTGTTTTGTTTGTTCAAAAGGTGATATTTCGAACTTTCGTTCTTATACATCAGTTCTAGATCTTTTAGTTTAGCTCCCGCTACCTAAACTCTTTGCTCAAAGCTCCCCCAGAAATGCTATTCTCCTCATCCTAACCCTTTCTTCATTTTTTCCTCAGGTTTATTGAACCTCGTTGCCCATTTGAAGTACATTTTCCGGGTTTCCATTGTGTACTCTTCCGAGCCTTGCACATTTAAATATTATTTATAAGTGCAAATTAATCTTAAATACTGGGAAGGTTGTGATCACATGTGCCAAAATTCTACTTAGAATACTTCTTTCTCAACATACCAGAGTTCTTAATGCTTCGTCAGTGTGTGAATGTGTTCAATAAACACTGAGTAATGATCTTACATTGTAAACAGTGTATTTTAAGATGTTAGTACTCATGGTTTTTATAAGAAATGTTTCGAGGTGTTCTCAAGAAAAGTTATATCACATATCGCTTCTTCACATCAGTTTTACGAGGCCTTTCTCAGTCTCGTGGTTATTTTATATCGCTACTAAAATGAATAGTAAATTCATTCAGTGGAGCTACATACTTACAAATTGTTAAATTCATTCAAGATTGATAACGGTTAATCAAAATAAATAAAGAATACAATAATCTTACTCGAAAGGAAATGATTTTGAATGTAAACATTAAAACCATATGTATCTCTATTTCTTCGATAATGAAAAGGAGAGATAAGTGAAAGAAATGGTAGGTAGAGGTGACATAATGGATTTCTAAAACCTAAATAGAGACTCGTGACACATAACTTGTTGCATCCCCACATGCATTAGAGAAATGGCTTTTCCAAGACTTGAAACCCATAGAAAATGTAATTAATAATTAATAACATAATATTTATTGTTAAAAGGAAATAATGTATTTCCAAAACAAAAAAAGGACACTATTTTCAATAATTTTGACTTAGCCAAAACCACAGAAACATTATTGAAAAGCTTTCATCAAAAGTTCGTGACTTCCAGTTCGAATGAATTAAAATTAACCATAAAGCTAGCACCATAAAATACTAGGGATAATGCATTCATCGTTTTCAGGTAATTCTAAATTATTGTCAAATTTGTTTTAAGTTATTGCGCAAAATATATATTCAGTATAAGACATGACCTAAAATTTGCCAGAATGACAGATCCCATGAATTGATATCCTCTCCTCACATATAGACTGTTGTTCTTTCTGTCAATGTCGGGTTACACATCAAAATGCATCGAGTTGTGTAGGCACATTATGGACACTCATTGATATGACTTTCAATTTGAATCAATTTTGTACTTTGGGAACTAATATTTATTTTATCTTTTCACAAGAAATTATTCATTATTCCTGGTTTTTATAACAAATTATCCACTGTCATATATTAAATATTCAAGTAACAAAGTATACAAATATATGTGCATTCTAAGTATTCATTCTTCTTGAAATATCCTCTCTTGTGCAAAAGTCTCAAAAGTATAAAAGTAAAGGACCGAAATATTTAACTGACCTTGGAACTTCCTAAGTACAAAAATTAATCTTTAATGCTATACTGAACCATGAACTGGCAATCTGTTCGGTGTAACTTGTTAACAAAGTTGAAAGATACGACACCTCGAAACTCCGAGTCCAAGTTTAGCAGAGATGGGAGTGTGGGAGAGAAATGTGGAAGACAGGGTGGGAGTGATGGCAGTTCAGCACAGCAGTTCCATCAGAATAAGTAGGTAGGCTCCTTAGTATGTAGTAATTCTGAAATACGAAGTAGACCCAGTGGCGAAATCGTTAGAAATGGAAACTATGACTAAATGAAGTTCAGTTTTTATTTGAATTCTGAATGTATTTATCTAGAATATAAAAAGGAATACGTCCTTTATTTTAAGATAATAAAGATAGTAATCTACGGTATATTCAATGTATTGAAATGTTTATTGCACTTGAAATGACCTATCGCTATAATGATAATACGTTCAACTCAATTTCGCGATTTTCTTGACCCTTGGCCCTTGTAGCATACGGCGATACAAGTATTATTGCCTGTAAAAGAGCTGTCCGTATTTAAGCGTTAATTTTAACTTAAAGAGGCTTGTTAATACATTTCACATTATTGATATATATACCACAAATAAATGAATGACATAATGAAACATTACATGAAACAAAAAAGAGAAAATATACCCAGTGAAGTACTTGGTAAAATGCTTATACAAGCAGAATTAAAAGGTAAACAACATAAATTAATAATAATTAGTACAAAATACCCTGCAAAAATTCGTATGACACCTCTCTTCCCCATCTCGCGCGCTTGAGCTCTGTGTGAATACCCTTCAGCAACCGGTGCGGGAATAGAGCGAAGTGAGGGAAGAGTGGCCCGCGGTTCATAGGGCTTTCAAGGCGGCCGCGCGTTTGGCACGCCTGCGTTTAGAATTAATGATCGTTATAAATAAGTCAGTAGAATCATATATATGGTGTCACTTAAGATAAATCTTCAACTTGTAAATCCTTGCATTAATAATGTCATCGATAATGAGATCATATCATCCAAAGCGATATATGTCAGATATCGATACCGCTGAATGCGCTTCTCTTGACCTTCGTAAACGGCATGTTACTGGTGCCTTAGCGTCAAGGGAATCCATTCCTTCTTGGCA